CAAAATAGAACTTTACATATAAATCATGGTTAAATGCAAAGATGACCATCAAAGGAAATGTAAACAATTAAAAAAAACAAGACAAACTTACCAGAGATATCCAACTATATGCCCAATAAGCCTATCCATTAAATAATCCAGTGAAATAACATCTCAGTTGATCCTGAAAAAAATCATACAATTCAGTGATGCACAATTAACCTCATTTTACAATGTAAGTAAAGCAATAATTTACAGACAAAAGGAACAGAAATGTAAAAGACACCATGTATTTTACCAAAATTTAGTGAATATTTTTCTGATTTAAATTCAATCAAAGAATGACCCATCATAGAAATATTAAATGCACTCTGAGTTACATGCAGGTTATACAATTGTAAATTACATGAAATGAGGATAAATACAGCATTTACACTCAAAATAGAACTTTACATATAAATCATGGTTAAATGCAAAGATGACCATCAAAGGAAATGTAAACAATTAAAAAACAAGACAAACTTACCAGAGATATCCAACTATATGCCCAATAAGTCTATCCATTAAATAATCCAGTGAAATAACATCTCAGCTGATCCTGAAAAAAAATCATACAATTCAGTGATACACAATTAACCTCATTTTACAATGTAAGTAAAGCAATAATTTACAGACAAAAGGGACAGAAGTGTAAAAGACACCATGTATTTTACCAAAATTTAGTGAATATTTTTCTGATTTAAATTCAATCATAGAATGATCCATCATAGAAATATTAAATGCACTCTGAGTTACATGCAGGTTATACAACTGTAAATCACATGAAATGAGGATAAATACAGAATTTACATTCAAAATAGAACTTACATTTAAATCATGGTTAAATGCAAATATGACTTCATAGGAAATGTAAACAAAAATAAGACAAACTTACCTGTGGAATATTTCTGTCAGAAAGGAGATTTCAAAAATAAACCCGCTCTTAACATTCACATGACAAAAATGCATCAGGATGTTTACTTCCGTGGTCATAGAGAAACGGAGCTTTAAACAAGAAAAGCTTCACAGCAGGAAAATCATCATAGTAAAAGAGGAAAAACAAAAGATAGTCCTACATTTTCTGAAAATGTAAGTTCACTTCTTAGAAACAAAAGTGAAAATGAAACTTTAATTTTACAAGTGTATGACGTCACAATGCATAGGTAAGCATATTTTTTGCACAAGGCCCTAAACAAACTTGAATCGCTGCCAAAATCGTAGTAGCAGCGTTGTGAATCGTAGTAGCAGCGTATAGTATAATGTAAACATAGTGTAAACACCCCTATATTTAGGGGCTATATGTACTGAATTGACCCGGCTATCCCCCAGACCCCCCTAATCTGCACTCCCTTGACCAGGCTATCCCCCAGGGGCTGCACTCCCTTGACCCGGCTATCCCCCACCAGGGGCTGCACTCCGTTGACCCGGCTATCCCCCCAGGGGCTGCACTCCCTTGACCCACCTATCCCCCAGGCCCAAAAGTGCACTCCGTTGAACCCCCTATCCCCCCAGCCAATCAGAATCCTCCATTTTTGACCTCATTTGCATAAAAAGTGCACTCAGTTGAACCCCCCATCCAGACCGTTTATACTACTCATGGAGAGCCCTGTAAGTGTATAGTAGGACCTTGTAATCGATCCGTTGACATATTGGTAGCCAATGAAGTTCCTTGAGCAATGGTGTTACATGTATATGGTCATGACAAGGAGTTTTTGTGATGATTCTGGCAGCTGTGTTCTGAACCCGTTGTAGTTTATTCATTGTCAATTTTGGAATACCGAAGAGCAACGAATTACAATAGTCAAGCTTTGATGTTACTAGACAATTAACTAATGTTTTTGTGGCATCGGTTGTAAGGTATTTCCGTATGCGTCCGATGTTTCTCAGCTGGTGGTAGGCAGATCTACAGACAATGTTGACGTGTTTTTCCATGTCCATTTGTGGTGTGAAGTAAGGGCCAAGATTTCTGATGCTGTCATTTGAAGCTAAAATAGATGCCTCACCAACCATGATAGTCATATTTTCGACATGTTTGAGATTATTTTTGAAAGAAAACAACATCACTTCTGTTTTCTCAGCGTTCAGTTTTAGCATGTTTCCATTCATCCACATAATGATTCCCGTTAGACAGGACTCTACGCGGTTTATTGCTTCAGATTTGGACACAATGTCTATGGGTTTAAATGAAATGTGCAGTTGTGAATCATCAGCATAAAAGTGATGTACTAGACCAGGTTTACCACAGATAGCACCTACTGGCTTGGTATACATTGTAAAGTATTTCGGCCCCAATACGGATCCCTGTGGAACACCAAAATTCATAATAACTGGATCGGATAGCTCTCCTTCAACACAAACAGTTTGTTGTCTACCTTTAAAGTACGCTGATATCCAGGAAAGGGCGTTATCTTTGATTCCGTAGAGGTTTTCCAAACGGCTCAGTAGTATGGTATGATCTATCGTATCAAATGCTGCTGACAGGTCAAGCAACACAAGAACAGTGACACAGTTGTTGTCTAGTGACTGAAGGATATCGTTATGCACTTTGAGTAAGGCTGTTTTGAAATAGTCTCTATTTAAATTGACTTAAGTGGGACTTTCACTAAATAATCCCTATACATGTATACAGTATTTTATGTGTCATCATAACAGTGATTATAGAAAGTTTTATTTAAATTTATTTCTTTCTTAGATTGTGCAAACTTAGCTATTTGGATTAAATTATACTTGATTTTTTTTAATTAGAAAATTGCGTAGATTGTAACTGATAATCTTTCACAGAAAGTAAATGGACACCTTCATATAAGATTTTTAACTTTGAAAATTCTAAAACAAAGCATAGATGTAAAGCATTGTGAAGTTAAAAAATGGTTTCACTCACTATTTTGGCATTAACAATTACATCAGGAGAATTTCTCTAAACAGGTCCAGTCCAAAGACTATTTCTACCTACGTAGCTATTAAGAGCTACGTAGGTATTTAAACCTACCCAAAGTTGCTATTTTTACCTATTTTTTATATTATCTGCATTTTGTGACCGAAAGACCAAACGGCGCAACATGGCGAATACAATATATTTTGATACAATCACATTGATGATGAATACAACAAAATTTTGGTTAAAAAAAATTGATTACTTCCTGAATCGGCAATTTTACATTACTTTCTATGCAAAATTGATAATACACGAAGTAATCATTTTTTGGCCAAATTTTTGTCATATCCATCATCAGTCTGACTGTATCAAGGAATTATGTACCCACCATGTTGTGCCTTTCATGCGTTTGGCCATAAAATGCAGAAAATACAAAAAGTAGGTAAAAATAGCTACTTTGGGTAGGTTTAAATACCTACGTAGCTATTAATAGCTATGTAGGTAGAAATAGTCTTTGGACTGGACCTGCTAAAGGCCCTGACCTAGATCTAGACAAATGTACATATCCCGTGACTCCATATATGGTTTATCACACAGGTTTTTTGATGAGGGTTTCCAAAAATCAGTGTCTTCGTATATGGAATAGGACATGGATTTCAGACACGGGTTTTCAGAATCCGCGATCGAATCCATATATGGAAACTAGCACGGCTTTTTGACACGAATTTTGTTAAACCATGTGATCTTATCTAAATAGTACGACAAATACCCCGTGCCGTGTCCGTGCCTCGACCACTTTTTGGCAAGGCTTTCCATACATATTTTTCATAGGAGCGGGAATGCTAAAAGCACGGGTTTTTGAAAACAATCATTTTTTTTTAATCCGAATTTACTCCATTCCTTTATTTAAGGCAAATACATGTAGATATCACAGTTAATTATTTACGATCACTTTATCAACTAGAAGAAAGATGTTCTGTGATTTTCAAAAAATACATTTACAATGTTATCAATAATTTAATTTTTCAACTTTATTTTTAAAAAGAATAACCTTAAGTCACACTGACTTTTCAACTATAGACTATTAGTTGTGCAGGCGGTGTAGATTCAAGTTTGTACAAATCATGAGCCCTGAGGATAGGGTTAAGCCAAAATGGACGATCAAGGGTTTTCATAGGAATATTTAGGAAATTTTTTAATCTTCTCAAGAGCATCAAAGCCATGGTTGATCATATTTAAATGGAGGCATCCTCTGCTAGGTGGAGTAGATTCAAATTTATTCAAAATGTGACCCCCGTGGAGGGGTAGGACCACAATGGATGATCGAAGTTTAACACTGGAATTTATATTAGGAATTTTTTTTCATTCATAAGAACACCAAAGCCATGGTTGGTCAAATTTATGTGAAAGCATCCACAGGTAGTATGCATGTAGTTCAAGTTTGTTCAAATGATCCTTGGGGGTAGGATTGAGTCACAATAAACGATGAAAGTTCAACATACTAGGAGTATATAAGAACAATCTTCAGATATCTTCTTCTCAAGAGCACCAAAGACATGATTGTTCATATTTATGAAAAAGCATCCACAGGTAGTGTAATATCAAGTTTGTTCAAAATCATGACCCCCTGGATACGGTAGAGCCACAATGGATGATCAAAGTTTAACATAGGAGTACTAGTATATAGGAACAATCTTCTTCTGAAGAACACTAAAGCCATGGCTTGTCATTTTATTTTAGAAGCATCCTCAGATAGTGTAGATTCAAGTTTGTTCAAATTGTATCCCATCCCCCTTACCCCTTCTACCTTTTAGAGGTAGGTCAGGACCACTGATGCATTTAAGCTTTTTAATACTAAATGATTTGTGCTTTTTTTCCTAGCCAGAGTACTCAGATTAGTGATTTGGCCCCTTGGCCTTTTGTTAAATTAGTTTTCTTTTAAGTCAATCGAAATGTTCCTATGTTTATTACCATGAGAGTTCAATAATGCTAGTGAAAAAAGATCACTAGCTAAAATTTGCTAGTGGTCAAAAGAATTAATTTTCCCTGAAGTAATATCTAAAGTAATATCTTTTATGTAGTTCTTCCCATATTATTTTTTAGTCTTAGACATCTGCTTTACCATTTACACAGAAAGTCCCACGAAATAGCCTATCCTCCTTAAAGAAAAGCACAGGGGCTAACACAACTAGATACGATGGGGAACCTCTAGCCGAAAGGAGTTCAGATTACCCAGACTTTCGAATCATAGTCATAGTTTTCAATCGACCCCATTCCTTGAAACGACTCCTGAATTCTCTGAATAAGGCCGAATATTTTGAAGACAAGGTTATTCTAGATGTGTGGATTGATAGATCCAAAAAGGATGGTTCGATTCATGATGGGACGTTTAGCACAGCCAGAAAATTTAAGTTTAAACATGGAGAATACAGGGTAAGAGTACAGTATTATTGATTTTGGATTTTATACTTCAAAACTAAGATTGATTGATTGTAATATCTATGTTGTTTGACATTCCTCTTGAGAATTTTTCACCCATGTGGAGACACCACCACCTGCTGGTGGAGAGCTACAAATTTTGTCCTATACTCGGCAATTAAGTCCATTAAGCAGTGAGGGGTCTTTTTGTGCCAATACCTACTCCGACACAGAAGACTATTTATACCGTCTCATCTGAAGGACCTGGCTTTACATTCCACAGTGCTATTTGAACCCTTAACATAAGGATCAACTCCTTACTTTGCGGCTCTAGAGCAGATGCTTTAACCACTACATCCAGTAGAACATATTACGAACTGTGTACTTTGACTTTGTAATGAATAAGATTATCTTTATTTCAAATACAAGTATGTCATATATGCAATTACATATATTTGCATATCCACTGCTCTCTCTCACTATGAACATGTAATCATCAACTGTGTTCATAGAAGTATAAACGCAACTGCTTCTACTATGAGTGCAATTGCTCTAGCACACTCTTGTAGAACAATCTCTACTACACTTATCTTTCGTGCTGAGAAGTATATATATGAAATGTTTCAATAGAGGAATAAAAATAAGTTTTCAATAATATTCTTTGAAAAAAAGGAAATTCAGAATATTTAAAATTGCTGATTTATATTTTTAAAAATTCAGTTTGGTCAATGTATTTAATTGTATAATAAAACTTTTTAAAAATTGTAGAGAACTGCCATATTTTTTATTTATTGTATCATGCATATTTGAACAAAGAACGATAACTCTTCACACTTGGGTAATAACATTCAGAAAGAGAAAATTTTTTTAATTAGTGTGTCTATTTCAAGAATGATTTCAGCTCTTAAAAATAAATAGATATAAACTAAAAAAAATTATAGAAAAGCATTCTGGAGTAATAATCATTATAAAAGCATTTTCATTTTTCATCATAGTGTTGAATTATTGATTTTTGTCAGA